GGGGAGGGGGGGAAAGGGGCGCGTTAAACAACCGGTTTTATTTTGGGGAGGGGAAGAAAGAACTCGTCACGCTACCGCTGAACTTGGTTTTAATGTTTCTCCACAAACGGTGAAAAATACTAAAGTACAGACAAGGAGGACTCATAATGTTGTGGCCAACATTATAAATATGGAATTATAAATTTAAAAGATTTTTTTTTTCTGGTTTAAAAAATAAATCTGGTAGTAAATGAGGCTCTGGGGGGGCGGCGTTAGTAGGGCCGGTCTCTGCGATCCTGGCGGTGCTCGCCCCTGTGGGCACAGAGGGGGGGCACGGGTCAGTCCTGGGGTCCAGGAGCCCTCCCTGGGCTGGGGGGGACTCCTCAAACCCCCAGCCACTCACCCTGACACCCATTTACCCACCCCACTACCCACTTGCCCTCCTACCCACTCGCCCCCCACCCCTTCACTCCCCAACCTGCTCATCCTGCCACCCACTCCCCCACCCACCCACTCACTCCCCCACCTGCTCATCCCCCCCCATTAAATCCCCTACCCACTTGTCCTCCCACCTATTAGCCCCCTCCTCATTTCTCCCACCACCCACCCAGCCCTCATCACCCTCTCACTGGGGTCCCAGTGTCACCCACGTCCTTTCCCCATCAGGATCTCCCCCTCCCCACGTCCCCCCCATCACTCTGCCCCCCCCTCCATCCATACTTGTCCATCTTTCCCGGCCCTCCACGCCGTCCTCTGCCTCCTCCTCCCATCTGCTCCATGAGGGGTCCGGGGGGTCCCCCGGGGCCTCCTCCTCCTCCTCCTCTCCGGCCTCCTCCTCCGTAGCCTCCTCGGTCCATCCCGCGGCCTCCTCGGAACCCGCCTCTGTCTCCGCCGCGGCCGCCTCGGAACATCCCCCCGGGGCCCCCTCGGTCCATGAGGCCCCCGCCGCGCCCACCGCGCATCCCCCCGGGGCCGCCCCGGCCCCGCTCACCGCCTGGGGGGGAGGAGAGACCCTCAGAGTGACCCCAGGGCAGCACATCCTGCTCTGGGTGTACCCTACCCCCGATCCCAGGACAGCCAGCTCTGCCATGAGCAGCAAAAGGCCCAGGAGATGCCAGGAACCCTGAGGGGATTTGTCCACCCCTCACCCAGCTCCTCCCGAGCCGGGGGAGCTGCAGCTCCTTAGGGCCCTAACGAGGTGGGAGCAGCCCCCCAGGAAGGGCCCCCAGATCCCAAAGGAACTGTGATCCCAGCCTCCACGTCATGGCTCACAGAGCAATGAAGGCCTGGCAGCTTCAGGGGCTGGCCCAGCTGCTCCCCGAGGAGCCCAAGGCCAGCCCTGGGGTGTCCCACCGTGAGCCCCCACAACGTACCTGGAGGGGGGAAGGGAGGTGGGAGGAACCCCTCGGGTTTGGGCGCCTTGCACTGGTTACACTCCGTTCTCCAGGCGAAGTTCTGGTTTCCACAGCCCCTGGGTACAAACACCAGTCAGCCCAGAGCAGGACGACATTCCTGCTGGGAGAATGCCAGGAGGCACCACGAGCAGGAGAGCACGGGCAGAGCAGGACCTGGGGCTCATCTCCTGGCCCGGCTCCCCCACTGGGGTGGGGTCCAGCTGCCTGTTCACCCACAGCCCCTACAGTGACCCCATCCCTCCCTCCCTGACGCAGGTGGGAGGAAGGAGCTTCCTGGGAAGGCCCCGCAAGAGATTTTGGGAAAGGCCTCCTGGTCCTGGCAGGCCCTGGGACAAAGGGGACCCGGGGTACTCACGGGTTGGGGCACTGCCAGTCTCCGGCGCGGTGCTGGACGCTCCCTCCGGAGGGGTTTCCCCGGGACCCCCGCGGGCCTCTCGAGGAGAAGCCACCTCTGTCTCCTCCTCTTCCACCCATCCTGCCCATGGGGCCGCTGGGGCCACTGGGCCCCCCTGGGCCACCAGGACCCCCCGGACCTGTGGAAGGAGCCCCGTTAGTGCCAGAGCCACAGGCAGGGTGGGGGGGAAAAGGGAGCAGCTCTGGGGGGTCCCAGCCGGTACCTCCTCGGAGAGGGGGGGGCATTCCCCGCTGCTCCCGGGGTGGCATCCCGCCCCTCAGGCTGTTCATGGGGCCCTTCTTCCGTGCCAGGGTCACCTTCAGCTTGCTGCCCTGGAAATCCTTCCCTAGGAGGGACACAAGGAGAGGACATCAGCGCACACCTGCACCCTGGAGCTTCCTACAGGGAATTCCATCCCAATCCCCCTCCTGCACTCACCATCAAACCATTCCACGGCTGTTTTGGCAGTAGATGGGTCATCGTAGGACACGGTGGCGTCACCTTTGGGCTTGCCTGTCTCTTTGTCGATGTACAGGTTTATCATGGGCTGCCCCGTCCTCTTGTTCATCTAAGGGACAGTGGGATGTCACCTGGAGTCCCTCTCCCAGCAGGGATTTACTCTCTGTTCTGCTTTCCAGACAAGCAAGGCTCGTTCTGAGGACTCCGGGGCAGAAGAAACGGCCCCCTGGGCCTACCATGGGTGACAGGGACTGCCCAGACACCCCAAAAATAAAGGAACGGGCCCAAAATGGCACTGCCAGGCCCAACAGGCCTCTCCCAGGGACCTGATGGGCTGGAAGGGTGTGAGCAATGTGCAGGGAGGGGGAGGAAGAGTAGCAGGAGGGTGGTCCCTTTGCCCTGCCATCAGGGGTCACAGGTGTCCCCTCACCTTGACAACACCGCACTGTTTGAAGAAATCTGCCAGATCCTCCAGGGTCACATTATCATTGAGTCCCTGCACATACACTGCAGTGCTGTCTGAGTCCTCCTCCGGCTCCATGGGGGGGCCTAGGAGACAATTCCCAGGGTCAGTGCAGGGAGAGGAAGGGCAGGGATACCCCAGGGCCGAGTTCTTTCCATCCCGTCATTCCCAGCTGTGGCTCCGCTCCCAGTGAGCGACAGGAAACCCTTGACCCCGAGGGAGGTGACTGAACCCCCCCCATGTCCTGCCAGACAGACCCCAGAGCCCCCCCTGCGGGAAGAACCCCCCGGTCATATCAGGACACAGCCCAGGGGAGGGATCAGGAAGACCTTGGTGCCCTCTGGGCTCCCACACACGGACATCCCACCCCCCTTTTCCGATGCTGGAAGCTGACACATAACTTCCAGACACGCCTGTAGGACAGGAAGGGACAACCCATAAGGCCACAGGCTGCTGTGGCACGGGAGGAGGCTCCTGCAGAATCCCTGGAAAAGCTCCAGAGCAGCCCCCAACCCGGGGTTACTGCAGAATCCCTGGAAAAGCTCCAGAGCAGCTCCCAACTCAGGGCTATTGCTGAATCCCTGGAGCAGCCTCCAATCAGGGGTTACTGCTGAATCCCTGGAAAAGCTCCAGAGCAGCTCCCAACTCAGGGCTACTGCAGAATCCCTGGAAAAGCTCCAGAGCAGCCCCAAACCCCTCTAATTCCTGCGGAGAAGGGCGGGTGTCTCACAACCACGTGTGGTTTTCCACAGTCCAGCTGTCTGGATGAGTTGGGAATCAGGCAACGCCGGGAAGAGCCAGGAAGAGCCCGTGGGCAGCGGGGCTCCACCTGCCGTGGGCTGACACCTGCGGCGCTCCCGAGGACACAAGCGTCCGGTTCCCAAGCTCAGGAGGGGGATTTTGACGGGAATTACCTAAATCCAGGTCAGGTCCTTCCTCCATGTGTCCTGCCAGGCGGGAGAGAAGCACAGGGAGCGGTGTTAGTGCGGGCCCTGGGGCTGGAGAACCGACACACACAACACTAGCTACGGAGGGGGAACCTCCAACTGACCTGCGCCGCCCCAACAGCAGCACTGCACCTTACTGGGCCATCAGGTGGCTACTTTTAGCACTTCTTTCAAAACCAACAACCACTGTTACATTGTTGTTTTGTTTTTTTTTTTTCTTTTTTTTTTTTTTAGCACTTTTTCAAACCGTTAACCACTAGCACGCTGATTTTTTTTAAGCAGCTCTCAAACCATTAACCATTAACGCTGATTTAAAAAAAAAACATAAATAAAACGTTACGCCAAGCCAATCGGGTTTTTTTTTTAAGTTCGCTAATATAAGTTACTTAATATCAAAAGAAAAAAAGATTTATTACATCCAAACCATTTCTTTTCCCCAAAAATTACAGGAGTGGTTGCTCAACTCTTCCACTGCGTCCTGTGACACCGCATTACCCTTAGGCATCGCCGGCAGTACCCATTACAGTCTCGTTGCATATGTCATTTTTAAACCACTTAAAACGAATAAAAAAATTACGCTTCGTTCTAAAAAACTGTCTGCAAATGCTTTTTTTTTTTTTTTTTTTTTTTAACACTATCCATTGTAATGCTCAAAAACTTACCACCAGGCTTATTGAAGCCACCTCGCTCTCCAGCGCTGCTGGGGGGATAAACGAAGAAATGAAGGCCTTTCCCTTTACAAAGCCAGCACCGCTCTGAGCCTCTGCGGCTCACAGGGGAGAAGGGCACTGGCTAAACATCTCCAAACATCTCTCTGTCTCTGTCTCATCTCGGCACTAGGCCTTTCTTCAGAAGGGCAGCTCGCTCAAATTTTCTTTACAATATAAAAGCAACCTGGCGCGGGGTTTGAGGCGCCGCTTTGCCGGCGGCGCCCTGGCGTTACTCAGGTATCGTCGGTGCAATACTTGGCAAAGAAAGGGGATTTTGTGGCAGAAATCGAGGGAGGGGGGGCGTTTTCATGTGCGTTTCAGAGAAATCGGGGGCTGTTTCAGTGGCCAACTCCCTCCCCTCGGTGTGTCCACGGAGCAGCACCCTCAGCCTGTGGCCCGCGGGTCCCTGACAGTTAACAGTGCAAAAGGAGACCACCCCAAACGCGAGACCCTACGACACAGAGTTCAGCTGACGGCGCCCCTGCAACCCTCAAAAGAAAGCCATACATTTCCAGGTCACGAGTGGATTTAACAACTCTCTGGAGGGAAGAACTTACAGAGTGCGGCGGGGGCTCCGAGGCCTGGGGTGCAGCTTTGTGGACACACTCCCGTGGCTTTTTGGGGCACGTGCCAATGCGAGCGAGGCCGCAGCTTTCACCAAAAGCTTGGGCCGAGGCTTTCACAGCTGAAAGCGCTTTTGGAGCGTGGTGGTTAAGTAGGAAAATGCCACCTGGAAAACGATTTGGGCTGTTTCTTGCTCTTTTGGTTTTGGTTTGGTTTTGTTTTTTTGGGGGGGGTGTGAGATGAGCTGTTTGGAAGGAGCCGAGTGGAGGAGGGAGAGCACCATGAATTTTCTAGCAAGTATTGCACCTCTAATACTTGGGAAAAAAAGAAGTCAATACAGAATTTCGAGCTGTTGCATGCAGCTTTGCCTCCTCTCGTTAAAAGTACACACCATTTACGTAACGTCTCTCTTTTTTAAACATAACTTTTTTTTTTTTACACTTTTTCTTTTTTTTTTTCTATTTTTTTAACGTTACACAATTCTAAAGTAGTAGTAGTAGTATACCCTCCTCTGGCTTTATTACCAAACAACAAGTATGCAGTTACCAAAAGTTACAGAAGGATTCCGTTTATACAATCAATACATTGGGTTAAAAATATTCTATTGTATATTTTTCCTCTCCATATGGACACCGTGTCTAGTCCCACTTTTCATTATGCTGCCGGCTGAGTACTGAGTACGGGTACTTTTTAAGTATTGAGGTGTATACAAGGCTCTCACTTTGTAACCTGTAGCATATAAATGCGACAAAGCATGTTAAAAAGTTTTCCATTGTCATCAAATATCAAATCATCGAGGCAATGAGAAAGGGCACGTTAATAACATCGAGCTCCTTACCTGCTGGAGACACTGAAATCCATCACCACAGCACTCTAAGGTGGGCCGAGTTCCCCTACCTGCCCTGGGCGTCCCCTGAAGGCCACCTGTGCTATGGACAGCACCAACTCTACGTCCATAAGGCTGGGGGGGAACCCTTTGTAAGGGTCTGGCCAGGTGGGAATTCACTAGGGATGCAAATTTGAGCTGGGATTGAGGTGTGAAAATCAAGAGACAAGGTGACAAATCTTTGGCGGGAGAAAAGCTCTGAAGGGGCTAGAAATTTGAAGATGTGATGATAGACGTTTCAGGTGTCTACATCTACTTTATAATTGTTAAGAGATAAAAGCCACGGGGGGTGAAATCTTTATGCAGATCCGCGGGACTCTGTTCCGCGCGAGCCAATTCCGAGCTGGACGTTCCCACACAGACCAGCCCCGTTTGCACGCCTCTCTCGGGTTCCTCTGATAAAGATTTCATGCCACGTCAATTTGCTGCGACAGAGCTATGCAGGGTGGGGCCTCCCGCTGCCAAACTGGGCCGTGCCACACGGGAACAAGTCGCCTGCGGAGAGCAGTCGCCACGAGGGCCACCCTGGCAGCGCCAGGGCGGGCACAGCGTGTCCCGTGCCACACCTGGGGACACTCTGCATAGCTCTGAGCAGCAGGGTGAGGGGATGGAACACACACAAAGCTACGAATTCCCTCGCTGAGGAGCCTCTGGGGATGGTTTTCCTCCCTCACCTCTACCAGAACAACCTGCACGGAGGGGGTGGGGGGCACAGCTGAAGGCACAGGTGAACCAAAGCGGGTCGTGCCATCGGTTACAATGGCCACACTGATCCGGAGCAGCACCGGAACGCTCCGAGGGGGAGCTGGCCTGGGAGCCAAACCTCTGCCCTCTGCCCTGGGGGTCCTCCTCCACGCTCCAAGTGTCTCAGGCTCTGCTGAGGAGGCTCCTGCCCTGCACACCCCTGACCTGCCCAAATCCGCCCTGCTGAGGCGCAGGGAGGGAGCCCTGGACCCCCTGGGAGGTTTGTGTGTGTTCCGCCCGCAGTTACTGTTAAACCCCACGGAGGTTCCACCTCGGGGCGACCACGAAGGGAGCTGAAAGTGTCAAGGTCAGCAATCCCCCCAATTTACCCCTCCCAGGAGCCCAACCATCCGCAGGACAAACCAAACACATCCTGCTCCCTATCTCCCCTCGGGATAGAACGCTTCCATGGATTACAAGCAATGCCATAACAGAGATGTTCTCCATGGAAGCGCTGTCGGGAAGGACAACCTTTCAGTCCCTTCTTTTCCGTTTCAAATCCTATGGGTAAACCAGGATTAGGTAAAAGGAGAAAAAGCTTTGCTCTTACCCCATTCCACCGCGTCCTCCTCCCCGCCCACCTCTGCTCATGCCTCCTCGATCATATCCCCCTCGTCCCCTGCCCCGGCTATCGGGGCCGCTCAGATTCCGGGTCTCTCCTGGGCCGGAGAAGCCTCCGGATTCCTGCCCGTACATGTTCATGCTGCTGGGATGGTCCTGGCGGAATGAGCCTGGGGAAGTGTGGGACAGACACATGTCAGGGACATGCAGCCCTTCCAGCTGCCCTCAGCCACAAGGGCAGCACCACGGGGATTCAGGTTGGAGAAGCCCTCTGAGATCATCAAGCCCAACTGTTCCCCCACCACTGACCCACGTCCCTGAGGGACACATCCACATGGATTTAACTACCTCCAGGGATGGGGACTCTACCCCTGCCCTGGGCAGCTGTGCCAGGCCTGATCACCCCTTCCTTGAAGGAATTTTCCCAAATATCCAACCTGACCCTCCCCTGGCACAGCTTGAGGCCGATTCCTCTCATCCCATCCCTTGTTCCCTGGGAGCAGAGCCCGACCCACCTCTGGCTCCTCCCTCCTGTCAGGGAGTTGTAGAAAGCCAGAAGATCCCCCCTGAGCCTCCTTTTCTCCAGGCTGAGCCCCCCCAGCTCCTCACCCACCTCCTCATCCCAAACACTTCGTGCTCTGTATTTCCAACCCCGCCCAGGGGATTATCCCAACCTGCCACCGCGGCAGCGGGAAAGGACAAACCCCAGTGACAACCCTTCAACACAGCCCTGAGTTTCAGCCCCAGAACAACCCCAGGGCTGCCCCTGAGGGCTCCCACTCACTCTGCTGGCCGTAGCTGCTGCTCTGCTGGCTGTACTGGCTGGGGGCCTGGCTGTAGGATGCGCTGGGAGGGGGGTAGCTGGTGGGAGGGGGTTGCTGCCCGTAGCTGCTCTGCTGCCCATAACTGCTCTGCTGGCCGTAGGAGCTCTGCTGCCCATAGCTGCTCTGCTGGGAGTAAGTGCTCTGGTCGTAACTGCTTGGCTGTGTGGAGGAATAGCTGGAAGAGAAAAGCACGGGAAAGGCGGGAATGACGAGGCAATTCCCCGGCAGGGTGCGTGAGGCTGGAAGGCGACGCGGTCACGAGCCATATGTAGGGTTGTAGATCATTTTAAAGGCTGAAGTCACCCTATGGAGGCCAGGCTGGAGGGTTGTAAAAGCAACATCCATGTGAGCAGTCCTAGCTTAGTCATACCTTTAGGAAAAGGCATAAGTAACAGGGCAAAACTCAGTGGCAGCAGAGCTAACAGGCTCCCCTCCTGAATTATTTTCGGCTGCCGGATAATAAAAGTTCCCCTCAGGCAGCTCAGGCTTTGAGGATTTCCAAATGTACCTTTTAGAAGTCACAACAAAGACACCTGAGGGGAGAGGGGAGCTCCTGGCCCAACCATGTGTGTGCAAGGAAGAAGCAAAAGGTCACTGAGACACACCCCAGGAAAATTCCTGACAGTTCTCAATTCTGACAATTAAAAAACGTAGGAAATCCCTTAAAACATTTGTCACCATTTTCAGCTGTGCACACAGAGACACTGCCACGCTCAACCTCACAACAAGAGGCACAGCTCCTCCTCCCGGGACACCAAAACACCTTTTCCATGTCTTTTGATTCAACCCCCTCAGGAAAAGGCCTCTCCCCGAGCGTTCCCAAGCCTGTGGAAGGGTTACCTGGTCGGGGGGTAGGAGGGAGGAGCGCTGACGGGCTGCATGGGGTAGCTGGCAGGCACCTGGGGGTAGCTGTAGTTGCTCTGCCCGTAGCCCAGGCTGGGCTGGCTGTAGCCTGTCGTGCTGGACTGGGGCTGGCTGGTCTCTGCTGGTTTGCTGCCATCCTGGGGTCTGGGGACAAAGATGGAACAATGTCAGTGCCCAGCTCCACACCTGGAAGCAGCAAAGGGCTCAGATCCCCCCCTGTTTTTTGGGGTAGTGCTACAGGCTGGCTCTGATGGGTGGCAGCTGCTCTGGCAGCAGTATATAAAACAATATATAATAATATATAATAATACATAATAAACATGATTTTGGCAGTCAGTGGCCGGGTATTTGCACACCCCAGGAAAGGCCCAGGCAGTGCCCTGAACAGAGAGCACAGAGCACCAGGGATTGTGTCCATCCCAAAGCCCAGGCAGTCAGAGCTCAGACTTGGCTCCGGGGCTGAGGGGAGGGTGTGGAATGCCAGGAAGGCGGTTGGCAGCACTGCCCTGCGCTCCAGCTGGTTCTGCACAGCCCTGGGAAAGCAGGAGCTGAGAGCAGCCAGCAAGGCAGGCCCTGAAATGCCCCATTGTTTGGGTGAGAACCCAGCTCACGCAGATATTGCCTCATGTACCTTATCCCGTGGAAGGGAAAGGACACTGGGGTTGGACTGGGTGACCTTTAAAGGTCCCTTCCAACCCACACCACGCTGTGATTCTGTGTGCAGGATTAACTCCCAAGGCCTGAAATTAGAGAAACCTTTGCATGTGATTGCCAAGGTCCCTTCTGTGTGTCCCACAGTTTAACAGCCGTGTGGATGTGGCACTTGGGGACATGGGGCACTGGTGGCCTTGGCAGTGCTGGGGGACCAGCTGGACTCGACCTCAGAGGGCTTTTCCAACCTAAATAATTCCCTGAGTCTATAATTTCTAAGTGTTTCTCAGAGTGAAGCTACTTTTGCTGTAAAAGCTGGGAAAAGTTTTTTACAATGTCAGGATTCACCCTGAGAATTCCCATCCCTTTGAAGCGTGACCTGCCAGAGCTGTGCCAGGCTCTGCCTTTCCTCACCACAGTGCTTGCTACAAACACCAGCTAAGCGACTACATCAGCTTTTCCTCACTATTCAGCAGATTCCCATTAATTTTTCACGTCCTCTGAGCAAACAATTCCAACAAAATACCTGACAAGCAGCGCTCAGATGGGAGAGGTTTAAAAGGGAAACGCTTTGCAGCGTGAGCATCCCCCCAGCATCCTGCCTGACCCCGGCACCCCGGGGTTGTTTTCGGCTCTGCATTGTGAGCTGAGAGCCTGATTTGTGTGTGTGGTTGTTCCCTCATCCCCCAGGAACGGCTCTGACTCACAGAGCTGGAGCACAGCCCTCCCACGCCGCTCCCCCGGCAGCGGGAACGGCGCTCGGGGAGACGGGCAGGGAGCAGGAGCTGCAGGGGGGAACTGGGGGTGAGCACAGCACAGGGAGGAGGAGGAGGAAGAGGAGAAAGAGGAGGAGGAGGAGGAGGAGGAAGAAGAGGAGGAGGAAGAGGAGGAGGAGGAAGAGGAGGAAGTAAAACTCCGGTGAAACAGGCAGGGAGGAGGTGCCATCAAAGCAGTGAGTGCAGCTGGGGATGATCAGAGGATGAAGAGAAGGGAGAAGGGGAGGAGGAGAAAAAGAGGATGAGAAGGAGGAGGAATGGGAGGAAGAAGAGGAGGAAGAGGAGGAGGAAGAAGAGGAGGAGGAAGAGTAGTAGTAGGAGGAAGAGTGAGAGGAGGAGGAAGAGCAGGAAGAGGAGGACGAGGAGTAGGAGGAGGAGGAAGAGTGGGAGGAGCAGGAAGAGGAAGAGAAGGAGGA